CTTTGACCTTTGCTAACTTTGAACTGCTGATGGAGAGATCAAAGAAAATCATGTAGCCCTAAGCCTGCTGGATGTCCTTTAATGCAAACCTCTTGCCTTGAAAAGATGTCATTATAAGTTTTACTCATGTTAAATCTCATTGTATTTTAGCCTGAGGCTGCCCTCCCATTGGACAGCTAAGCACAGGTATAGGGGGCTTGTAGGCATGCAGGTGTGTTGCTTGGTGCCCTTCAAACATGAAAGGCGGTGAATAGATGGTTTGCAGCAATTTGACCTTCTGACTAATAGAGATTTCAGAGAGATCTTTTTTTCTCTTTGTTTAATTCTTAAATGTATAACACACCTTCTGTTGAACCCGAGGAGGCGTGCCTATGTGTAATATTCAGAAGTCCATTTTTTATTATAGTTTCAGCTGGGTACCCAAATATGGAGGAGTTCCAGGCCAGGTTTTACTTAGGGCTCAGGGTAAAGTGGCTTGGCAGGCTGCTGTGGAAGCCTCTGGTAAGTCTTGTGTTCTTTTCTTTGTTCATTGTGAATAAAGTAAGCACTTAGAAAGACCCTCAGCATATTCCTGAGTGATTGCAGTGGTTACCAAGAGGTCTCCAATCCAGGCACTGAACAGATCAATACCTGTTTTGCTTCAGCACGGATGTAGTGTCCTACACTTTCGCACCACACTTGAAGCTCTATTGTTGCACAATCAATCCTATAAGCACCGGAGATGCACTACAAAGTAATACTGCAACTAGTGAGGAAGTCATAAACACAGCATGGAAAGAGCAGCCATCAAATTTACACATGTGCATATCCAATTAATATTCTCTGCCCCAAAAGCTGAAAAATATTCAGGTGAGAAACTGGCTTTCTCACCTGTCCATTAGGAAACAAAACCTCCTACTAAGTTGCATCTGATGTGTATTGCCTGCTAAAGATAGAAACCATAACAGCATATCAAGCTATGAAAATCCTTGGAAAAGCAGATTAAAATTTGAAGTGCAGCAGCTGCTCTGGGATGAATTCCTGGGAGAATCATAAAGGGAGATAGTGACATTTGGGATTAGGTCAACATTTTCAGCGGTGTCCTTGTTTCCTGTTTTGTCAGTTCCCATCAAGGTAAAGTAATTCCTAGGCAAACCAGATATATATTTTGAATCTGCTGTGGAACAGGAAGGGAGTGGAAAGAAGCCACTGTGCTTTTCTTTTTACAAGGGTTTATTGTAAAGGATCTTCCCTGTCATCCATAGCCCTTTTGCATAATTCACTGCTGGTTTGGGGGTTGTGTAAACTTATGGGATGGAGGGAGATTACTGGTTTTTCCCCAGCATTCACTATACTGAATCAGTTTCTAGGGACTGTAGCACTAAGGTTGCCAACTGGCTGGTTTTCCACCAGCATGACCGGTTTGTCTCCCTTCTGGCTGGTTGCTAGTTGATGTGTTTTTTGTATGATGGGAGGAATGGAAGAGAGGTTAGTTTTTAACTGTTTCGTGTCTTTTAAGGCAAAGGAATTTGCAGCGCTGAGCCCTTTTCAGCTACTTCTTTTAAAACTTTAATTGTGCCTCAAAGGCAGATTCTCTAAATACTGTAGCACTTAGCTGTCTTTTCTGCTTCCCTTTGTATCTGGATAGCTCCTTAGCTAGAGAGAAAGACAGTGAACACAGAATAGTGCCACTTTGAAAAGCATCCCATTTTGCTCATTTTTGTGTATGTTCCATCTAGTAGCTGAGATTAGAGCACCTTTTTTAAAACTTATATTGATTTCTACTAAAAGGTTTTTCCAAGCTCAGTGACCAGGGACCTTCAGTGATGTTCTATCTATATGGTTATATATATCTTATATTGGAGCAAGTCTCACTGGGTTTATACTGAATCAGACCATTAGACATCCAGCCTAGTACTGTGAATTCTGAATGTCAGTGAATTTCAGGATCTGAAGTACAATTGTTCTCTTAATAGCAGGGCTGGTCTCCATTTACACAGAGACGTTTCTACATATAAAACATATTTTACAGCTAAGCTACCCTCCCTAACTTGGCAGAAATTGTATCTGAAAAACTCTACTTTATGATCTCTTTCCACTAACAATGTGCCTGTCTTTAAGATGCTGCAGAACTACTTCTTGTTCTTCTTTTCTTTTTAGAAGGGTACCCAAAGAGACAACTTGGTGTAGTGGTTGAGTGCACAGACTCTAATCTGGGAGAACTGGGTTTGATTCCCGACTCCTCCACTTGCACCTGCTGGATGACCTTGGGTAAGCCATAGTTCTGGCACAGCTGTTCTTGAAAAAGAGCAGTTTCTGTCAGAGCTCTCTCAGCCCCACCTACCGCACGGGGTGTCTGTTGTGGAGAGGGGAAGGGAAAGGATAAGGGTAAGCCGCTCTGAGACTCCTTTGGGTAGTGAAGGGTGGGGTATAAATCCAGTCTCTTCTTCTTCTTCTTTTTCTTTTTTGTAGAAAAACTGTGTGCATTCTTTTCACTTTTGTAATAAGTTCCTTAGATGGGGATATTAACTAAGAATGACAAGTGCATGCATTTTACATTAAGCATTGAGAATGCATTCTGGAAAGCAATTCAGACGTATTGTTTTGAGTCCCGTCCCTGCCACTGTTAGAGAACCACTGAACTAGTGAGAAAATGTCCATAGGTCCTCAATGCCATCTCACAAAATTCACAATCCATTGCCATTAGGCCCATCCTAGGAACACAGGCAAGGATAAAGCCTTTGGTCGTTCACAGCACTCACAGCTGGCATTCCCATCCATTTTTTCTAAGGAGTGCATCATAAGCAGTGACTCTTCTGACAGTCATCCTTAAAAATCCCACCTTTCCTCCAGTCCTTGTGATTTAGAAGAGAAGAGATTGAATTTATACCCCACCCTTCACTACCTGAGGGAGTCTCAGAGCGGCTTACAATCTCCTTTCCCTTCCCCTCCCCACAACAGACACCCGTTGAGGTAGGTGGGGCTGAGAGCGCTCTTTCGAGAATGGCTCGTGAGAGAACAGCTCTGAGAGAACTTGTAACTGACCCAAGGTCACACCAGCAGCTGCATGTGCAGGACTGGGGAATCAAACCCAGTTCTCCCAGATTAGAGTCTGCGCTCCTAACCACTATACCAAGCCCAAGTGATTGTCAGTCAATTCGAGCCCGTGGAACTCCACTGGATTGGGAGAAGGTGAGCCAGCCTCAGCTTAAGAAGAGTGAGGAAAAACATAATATATATTTCGAGGCTCTGGAAAGGAGCGTTAGCTTAGCCAACCTTTTATTTAGCTGTTAGTTAGGGTTTGGGGCTCAGCTTAGGGAAGAAAGCTTATTTTAGTGTGACAAATAAGCATCCTGTTAAAGGCCCATCATTCCTAACTGGTATGTGTAGGTTTTGTGGTAAGGTGCTCTGTGAGAGAAAAGAGCAGCCTTGATCCTGCTGAGATAACCTGTCCAGAGAAAGGGGAATGTTATCTCCCCTCAGAGGTTATTTACTTTATTTGAGAGCCAGCTTTGCTTTATATATTTAAGTTATCCACATATCATATTTATCTTATTAAATATTTTCTGTTAAATAAACCTGTGTCATTCATATCCATCTGTGTCTTGTCAGTCAAGTCAAAAATCTAAGAAGCTGGGGTCTCTATTTACCTCACATATAAGTACAGCCATAGGCTGTGGACACACGTGCCAGAAAAAATAGGGGGAAGCAAGGCTATTTCCTCCGGAGGAATTTGGCCCGCAGTTGCATGATCACACCTCCCTTTGAAGCTGCAGGCGCAGTCCGTCAGTGTGTGATCAGACGCAACTGTGGGTGAGTCTTTTTTGTGTGTGCCCTTTTCACCCCATGCCGAGGGATCGATTAATACCGAGGGATCGATTAATCATACCTCTGCACCGAGGGCTCCCTATGGAGTTTGCGATGATGCGCATACCGCGAGGGGGGGGGGGAAACAATGGCACAGAGTTGGGATGGCCTGATCAGACCATCCTGATGCCATGAGAGTGCGCTGGAGCGATCAGACACGGGAAAGTCCGTCCGTGACCCGTCACAACCTGTTTGCTACCGGATTTTCCCTAGTGTCTCCGCTTCTGCGGCAGAGCAGAACGGGTTGCCACGGGGCGCTTCCCAAATGTTGTTGTCTGATTGCACCCTTTAAATCCGCCCGACATTCGCACCTATGTTGTGTCTAATTGTGCATATGATCGCAGCCTTAGTCTAGCAGGTTTCCAAATTTATGGATATAGCCTGTACCAATCTTTAATTTAAAGCTTGTGTCTCCCTTTTTATTTGATCATGGGCAGTTGGGGTATAAAGAATCTACAGGAGAGGCGCGGGGGGGGGATTGGATATTCTTCAGTCCAGAAGGCACTTGCTTCAGAGCTTCCTCCCACCCCACCCCGTAGCTGCCACAACACCTTTCTAAGTTCCATTGACTTCAGTGGACTTAGAAGAATTTAAGTCTGTTTAGGGTTGCACTGCAGGTCTTGAAAACCTGATCTTTGAATTAACCTCAGTTCTGTAGTTTATGGCGTGATGAGAGCCATTCTAGGTTCTAAATGAGTGGCGATGAGGTTGGGGGAAAATGTTGATTCTTGAGGTGAGAAAATAAAACTCTAAATTTATAACATTAACAAGGCAGAGTTTTAAAAACCTCCTCTAAGTAAAAGTCTTTAGATAACCGCCTAACCAATCTATGTGCAAACAGTTGGCACATTAGAGAAGCAGGAGATATTTCCATGGATGGGAGGATTTCTGTGCACAGGACTGTGACTTCCCCCTCTCCCCACACACACCTTGGACAGACAGAAATTTTAGGCAGGATCCAACCTGATATCTCTACCAAATGATATTTTCCCCTAAGATCACTGTTCTAATTGTAACAGGATGTGTTTTCGTTTGCCTGGTGTTTACTAAATTTACCGTGTCACAGATTATTCCCTCAACTGAAAAATAACAAAAGCAGCTTCTTTCCGTTTTTTTTCATGTGATGTTCTTTATTCCCCCTCCCCTTTCCTTAGGTTCAATGCAAGTAATGAATAAGACAAGGCGGATCATGGAACAGGGAGGGGCTCACTTCATCAATGCCTTTGTGACCACGCCGATGTGCTGCCCGTCCCGCTCCTCCATTCTCACGGGGAAGTATGTCCACAACCACAACACCTACACCAACAACGAAAACTGCTCCTCTCCGTCTTGGCAGGCCCAGCACGAAATCCGCACTTTTGCAGTGTACCTCAATAACACAGGTTACAGGACCGGTAAGCAGCATCTCCCTTGACTTGTCTCTGGCCTTGAAATACTGGAATGCCATACATAATTTTTCCTAACTAGTTCTTGCCTGGCAAATGGACCTGAATTTCTTTCATGCAAACGGGTTTGTGGGTGCGTGTGTGTAAAGTGCCGTCAACTTGCAGCTGACTCACAGCAACCCCAACAAGAGGCTTTCAAGGCAAGTGAGAGGCAGAGGTGGTTTGCCATTGCCTTCCTTTGCGGAGCCTTCCTTGGCAGTCTCCCTTTCCATGTACCAACCCTGCTCAGCTTCTGAGATCTGACAAGATTGGGATATATCATTCCGCCTTTTGTCCCAAAAATGGGCTTAATTCCATTGAATTCCATAGATATCATGTCAGTTGATGGGACAGGAGAGGAGAACAGAAGATGTCCTCCTACAGTAAGGCATGGTGAGTGTCATTAAGGGTTCCAAGTAGAAGGCGAATTTGTAACATGGGCCGCAAATCCACCAGGAAACTCTCCTGCACAAGTTGCGTTGAAATGAGTGGGGTGTGTACAAGGCCACAATAATGCTGTTAGGCAACTCCTGTTAACCATTTCAACATAGCTTATGTAGCTCAAGTTCCCAATGGATTGTGCAGCAAATTTATTATTGTGTGTGAGTGCCTGGCTGTGTCCTTTGGCTGTTCCATCTCAGGAATGCAAATGCTTTGGACTAGCTTTGAAAAGCATATTTACTAGGGATTTGCTTCCAATTATACATGTACTATTGGAGGTGTAGCTATTTCAGTGTTGAGCTAGGATCTGGGAGACCTGGGCTCAGATTCTCACTCTGTCTGGGTAGCCTTGAGTCAGTCACACTCTCGCTTAGCCTAACCTACCTTACAAGGTTGTTGTGAGGATAATATGGAAAAGGAGGGCCTTGTATGCTGCCCTGAACTCATTGGAAGAAGGGCAGAATAAAAATGTGCTAGATACGTAGATGCTTTAGAACAGAAACTCTATTAGATTGGAGGACTAAATTCTCCATTCCCTAGATGCCCAGGAGGAACCAGACTCATTGTTAATTCCCTATTATCATCCATTTCGATATGGAGGAAGTCAGTGGTTAGCTTGTAAAAATGCCTTTCATCATCCAATCTCAAGCTTTTTAAATATGGAAAGTGAATGCATTAATCAGTGTATTTCCGCTATCGTTAATATCTGCATGTGGATTCACACATCGGTCTTTGAGATATAGTGCATTGTAATTAAGCTTTCTTACTAGACATTTAAATACAGCCGGCCCCAAGTTAATAGTGACAAGTTGAGCAGGTGTGTTTTTATATTGGTGCTTATGGTTGACTACTATTTGTTTGGGTGGCTGGCAATGATTTATTTCATGTTTTATGGAGTAATGACATTGTCTGACTAGACCGGAGCCTCAAGGTGTTCTTGTCATTTAAATGTGAACACAACAGCTGTGTTTTCTACCTTCTCATGGTGTTTGTACATGGTTCCCAGACTGTAGGAACCTGCCATCAAACAAATTAAGTAATTTCTTTGTTTTTGTTCCACTCTGATAAAGACCTGAATTAGTCTGGAGACAAATCAATTGAAGGAAGTGGGGACACCCAATTGCTTTGTTACCATTTCCTTTTGTTTTACTGCAAAGGCGCATTAGTGCTTTTTAAGCCTACATAATATACCATAGATAACAAACACCCTGTTTGTTAGTTTTTTAAGTTAGCACCTCTGTACATAATGGGCTTTGCACATTGCTGCTCTTGCCACTTATGGTTGTTCTGAATGAGTTGCATTGAACTGTATTAGTATGCTTTGTTTATTAGGGATTGATATCCTTCTTTTCTCCTCACCGTGGGGACTCAACGTGACTCACAAAAAACCCAGAAAATATATCATTCAGATGGACATGCAAAGAAAAAAAAATATAGCACAACTCTCGGGCTAGTCTATCTCACAGAGAGCCATGGTCTGTAAACTATGGTCCAAGAACACTTCGGCTGTTCGCACTAAGGTGCCTCTGGCCCATTCCCAGGATAAATACTTGCAGCAGAGGAGGAACAGCCCAGTTCTCTTGCAGCTGGTGCAAAAATAGGAAGCTTAGATCAGACATTCAGCTGTTCCCGGTATTTTTAAAAATAATTGGCTTTGTGGTTTTGTTTTACTATTTTTTTAAATTGCATTTGTGTTTGTATTTATCATCCTCATCTCAAACAAATTCCAAGATAATATAGAGAGAATAACAAATATCTCCCAGAATTTTTAATTGATATTTATTTATTAATTTATTCGATTTATACCCTGCCCTCCTCACTGAAGCAGGCTTGTTTTAACTAATTAATTTATATATAACAAATTAATTTATATATTGTCATTGTCATTACTCCTGTGTGATTGTAACCTGCCCTGAGCTTGCTTGTGGGGAGGGTGGGACAGGTTAAATAAATAAATAAATGCACAATATTCATTGTAATCGAAAAAAAGTAATACATAAACCATATTTAACAATACACAAGCCATTACACAAGCAGTCACCCAATCTATAAGGCCCACAAAGAACCTCCAGTATTACTAGATGAACTAAAACACTAACCTATTTCTGCTTTATTATGTAAAGACTCACAATAGATTAGGACCCGGTAATACACAAAACCTCTGCGTGCAATCTGTGTTACGTTTTACTACACACGTCATTTCCATTTTCTCCCTTGATCACAGTGAAGTAAATATAATAACCCTGCTGAAGTCTGCAGTCTCTTCTAGTGGCTTGTTCATGGTCCCAGTAGAATGTTGAGTGCATTTAGGATACCTTTTGGGAATTTGCTTGCAGGGCAAAGCATTGTTAGCAGTTGGGAAACATTCTGTCATGGCTACCTGAGTGAACATATGCAGCCACCAAAAATCAATAAATGACATTACTGCATAGTGCTTAGCTATGGTACAGTAAGGCACTCCTTGAATGCCTTTTTTGCATACCTCTAGAACAGGACAAATACCTATTTTAATTCACCACTAAGAAAGAGTTTGATTTAGGGTTGCCAGCTTCCAATTGGGGCCTGGAGATCTCCCAGGATTATAGCTGATCTCCAAACTACAGAGATCAGTTTTCTTGGAGAAAATGGCTGCTTTGGAGGGTGGTACCTACAACCATACCCATCTTGAGGGCCCTCCTCAAACCCCACCCTCTTCCAGGCTCTGCACCCAAATCTCTAAGAATTTCCCAACCCACAGTTGCCATCCCTGGACCATTTGGAATGAGGTGTGAATCAGGATGCATCAGGAGAATCAATCCCCCCCTCCAATAATGGTTAAAGAACTGATCGGAAGCTTTAGGGTAAGGAAAAGGCTGAAACTAGCTGAGGGACTTTTGAAGCTAAGGACAGTAACAACAACTAATATATTAAGGTTTATTTTTAGCATGTGGATGTGGAGAGGAACATGTTCACATAGGGGAAATGGAATCTTTTTTTGTTTTGTTTTGTTTCTTCTAGTTCTCAGTGTAGCCTTTCTTTTTCTTGTGTTCTTTTCCTCACAATGCAACCTTTCCCTTTCCATCCTTTTGGGATCCAGGTTATGGAGGCACTGGTGACCTACATTAGAAATGTAGTGACAGATGTTTTTAGAAACCCTCACCTTGTTCTCCTTCCCCACTTTGGCGGGTTCACACTATAACTGGCTGCTCTAGAACATAATGTTTTCTGGGTTTCTCACCAGTTCCTCTTTTTTCTCTCTCTTGCCTGGCTGTCTCTCTTGTGTCATCCACTTAATAATGCTTTGTGATTTGAGTTGACCTAAATGGGTGAGCCCACATCTGCAAGCTATAAAAACATCTGAGCCATCCACCAACCTCTTGTCCTTTCTCCTCTTACAAGTGCTTTACTTGTTCCTTTATTTAGTTTGGTGGTGGTGGTGGTGGTGGTGGTGGTGGTGGTGGTGGTGGTGGTGGTGGTGGTGGTGGTGGTGGTGGTGGTGGTGGTGGTGGTGGTGGTGGTGGTGGTGGTGGTGGTGGTGGTGGTGGTGGTGGTGGTGGTGGTGGTGGTGGTGGTGGTGGTGGTGGTGGTGGTGGTGGTGGTGGTGGTGGTGGTGGTGGTGGTGGTGGTGGTGGTGGAAGGTGCCATCAAGTCACAGCTGACTTATGGTGACCCTGTAGAGTTTTCAAGGTGAGAGAACTCAGAGGTGGTTTACCATTGTCTGCCTCTGCATTGCAATCTTGGAGTTCCTTGGTGGTCTCCCATCCAAATTCTGGCCACAGTCAACCCTGTTTAGTTTCTGAGATCCCATAGGATTGGGCTAGCCTGGGCCATCCAGGTCAAGTCATTTAGTTTGTTAGTACATTTTATCACTCCCTCCCTCCAAGTATACATTGTTCTCCCTTCTCCATTTTATCATCACAACAACCCTGTGTGAGGTAAGTAAGGCTTGGAGACAGAGTTACTGGCCCAAGGTCACACAGCAAGCGTCACTGGGATTTGAACCTGGGTCTCCCAGATCCTAGTCCATTTTCAGCCACTTCACCAAGATAATTACTTATCAGGTCTTGTGTCCCACTGCTGAAATCTAAGGACAAAATCACACCTTATATTTTAAAAATCTTATAACTAAATAATCTGTGTTGCTATCCCTTGATAGTTATTTATTTAAAATATTTGTATGTCATCTTTCCACCCAACTTAGGGTCCCCCCAGGCTGTGAACAATAAAAACACTAGAATAAGTTAAAATACTTATATATACATATAGATATATGTATGTACACATAACAACAATTTAAAACAATCAGTACAGTTACAGACACGAACACGAAGGAGGGCCAGTGAGGGAGTGCCAAACAAAACAGAGATGTCATCAGTCACTGATGGAAGATGATGATAGAAGGGGACAGTTAAATGTCCCTTGGGAGAATTCTATAATTTTGATGCCATGACCAAGAAGGCCCATTCTTGGGTTGCCACCCATCTAGCCTCAGATGGCAGGGGCACCCAAAGCAAGGCTTCCAAAGATCACTGGAGTGGACGGGTAGGTTC